TCAGCAGCGCATGAATTTTAACACTTAGAAAAACAAGGTAAAAATTACCCAGATGCCCTTTTATTTTTCCTTTCCTGAATCTCTACCTTCTTTTTAGCTAGATCAGTTTTTTTATTCTTCCCTTTTCCTTCAACACCCTGAACTACATGTGCGTACACCCACAGACACGTGACACCCTCCCCTCCTAATCAGAAGAGTTCTATTTGGTAAGAATAAAAAGCCAGTAAACATTATGGAAGGCTTCGTTTTGTTTTGCTCTTCCTCATAATAACAGAATAATCCCAGTTCTAGAGTGGTGTTTTAGTGCCACCCATCTTACACCCATGGGTGTTAGGCTCACACCAAACTTTACATGTAATTGTTTTGTTTTCAGGGCCCTGGAATGGCAAGGAAGTTCTCTGCACCTGGACAGCTGTGCATCTCTATGACCTCGAACGTGGGTGGCTCTGCCCCCATCTCTGCAGCATCAGCTACCTCTCTAGGTCACTTCACCAAGTCTATGTGCCCCCCACAGCAGTATGGTTTTCCAGCTGCCCCATTTGGCACTCAGTGGAGTGGGACGGGTGGCCCAGCACCACAGCCACTTGGCCAGTTCCAACCCATGGGAACTGCTTCCTTGCAGAATTTCAGCATCGGCAATTTGCAGAAATCCATCAGCAACCCCCCAGGTTCCAACCTGCGGACCACTTAGACCTAGAGACATTAACTGAGTAGATCTAGGGGCAGGAGATGGAATACTAAGGGGAGGGTGAGAGGTGGGAATGGGAAAGTAGCCTATATACTAACTACTAGTGCTGCATTTAACTGGTTATTTCTTGTGAGAAGGGAATGTATTTAGTACTGCCTTCAGCCCTCAGAGTGGAGAGTCCCCCTCCCCTCCATTTGTTGGAGTGGGACGAGAAGGAAAGAGCAGCTTCTTGTGACAGGGCAGCTTCAGACTGTGCTTTCTTGCTTACGTGTACCCAGCAGCGAAGCTAGGGCTGGCAACGAGAATCTTGTTGATTGGGAAGCTACTCAGAGAGCTCAGTGGAAAACCAAACCCCATTATATGTTCGAGTGGGTGGAGCTCTTAATTTTGGTACATACCCCAAATCCCTTACTCCCTCAAGAATCTAAACCACAAGACAAAAAAAAAAAAACAAAAACTATTGGGCTCTCTCCTGCCCTGCCCCCAACCCTCTGTTTTGTTTTTGTTTGGGGTTTTTTTTGGCTCTTTGGAACCCAGTGAAAAATTCCGGGGGACTGGGGTTGCAACCCTTTCTTATCATAGGTCATTAGTGCTTTAAGCAAAAGATATTAGCAGCTTTGACTGCAGCATTAGCAATTAGGAAAAAAATTAAGTTCCCTGCGGACATATAACTTTGCCATCAGTTTTGATGTGGAAACACTGTGATATATAAATGTTGTTGGACAACAGTAGTTTTAAGAGTAAAATATGAAAGGTTTAAAAAGTTCAAAAAAAGCTAGCTCTGTTCTTTACTTATTGAGACACTTTAACTTCTTCCTTTGTATTTCCATTGTATTAGATAAATAAATGTGAATGTAAAATTGTATAAATGACTGTACTTGAATACTTCTGTTCTCCCAGTACTGCTTGCTGGATATTTTAGTGCCTTGGACTTCTATTGCTTCAGCCATTAGCACCAACTTTACAGATCAGCACAGGGCACGTGGAAGGGAATCTTAGGTCCATGTGACCCCCGTCAGTGGACATGCCAAAGGGAAATTGAAAGAGTATTTTTTCAAGTCATTCAACAATTTTGTGTAGAGCAAGTGTAAGATGAGTAGGGTGAGAAGTTGACATCAGTGGTTGAAAACAGAAAGTTCTGTTTCAGGAATTGTGAGGAGAGGGGCATTATAACAAAGCTGGGCCTTTTAAAAGATTAAGGGTAGTGTGTTCTGAGAGAAAAAGAAAGCCTAAAGAATGGAGGAACGCACTTGTTTTGAAGATAATATGATGCCTGGCCAATGATTATCATAAACCTTACTTATTTGAGCTAGGCTTGAACAGATGAGACCTGGAAGAAATGGCTGAACACAAAGAGGAGGGGGTGGGGGCTAGTTTTTAAGTTGGGAAAGGTCATAGTCAAAAGTCACAGACGGAGAAAGTTGCTCTAAGAAAAACTGCGTGGATTGTTTTCCTCTTGTTGCACAGGTACCACGCACTTCTCAGCTTGGGGTACTATGTTTTGTGGAAAGTGGACCCACATTTGAATTGATAAGCATTGTAGGAAAGAATGCTTATTCCTACCCATTTCCTCTGTTCCAAATGGCTGCAGGATAATGATCTGTGGTGCCACCTTTATTTCTAGATTTACAATGGATACTCTCACATTTTCATATAACTATTCCCCTTAAGTAATAACCACAACCAACCAGTATTATTTAGTGCTATGACTAGTTGTAATGGGAAGTTCTGTTATTTTCAGAGCTTTCCGGGAATGTTGTCCTAATACGCCCTGTTTGGGATCTCTATTATCTCTGAAGATGGAAAAGAGATACATCACAGCCTTGCCACAGTGACAGGAGGAGCCTGGTGGCTATCTGAATCCTATTCATTCCTTTCTGGACCCTGTTTTCCTTATCAGGTTGGCCTAGTCCCCAGAGACGCAAAGGAGAGCTGAAGGTTTTAGGAAGGTAGAAATGAAAAGGGTAGGGGTCTCAGGCCCTGCTTCAAAACTGTTTACGTATTTATTCTGTGCTTATCGTTCTCGGGGAGAGGGTAAGAGTAAGGATACAACAAAGAAGGTGCCGAGTAAATGAGAAACGGACCAGCTAAGATGAATGAAACAAAACTTCTTCCAGAGAAATGAGGGAGCCAAATGCAGCACATTATTGTTATTTTGGTTTAACGTTGAGATCTTTTCACTCATACACAAAAAGAACTAGTTTTATTTACCGTTGATTTTTCCCCCTCCTGTGGATGAAATAACTGAAGCCTAGAGGAATGAACTAGTGCTACTGAACTGTTTAAATTATTTTTGTGTTAATAGTACACTTTGAGTATCTTTTTCCACATAAAAAATCTTTCTGAATTATAAATGTTTTCCTTACATTATTTAACAATGTATACTGTTTTAAAAAAATAAAATAAACTGAATTCAAACCTTGGGGGTTTCTCAGCAGCTGTTAATTGTACATTTTGCACTAACTCTGGGTGTTGCGCTTCTTGTAAGATTGCGCTTGTGCTTCAGTTTGTTACCTTTGTAGACTTATTTAATGAAACCATTCAAATAAACCAAACTTGCTTTTGTTGAGCTGTGGGGTTTTCTTTCCAGCAAATTCCCTTTTTAGTTGTGTACAATTTATAACTACATTCCTAATTCCCAGGAACTTTTTTTTTTTTTTTTTTTTTTTTTTTTTCCTTTTTGTCTTTTCTCATGACCGGCAACGGATCGCAACCCTCAGTGTTGCCCCCGTACCGGACCGGGACCGGCAACGGGATTGCACCCCTTGGCGTTGCTCCCGCGCCTCGCTCAGCCAGTGAGCGGGAACCGGTCTGTATGTGGGATCCGACCCCGCGGGCGGGAGCGCCGCGGCGCTTCCCAAGCGGCGCACTTATCCAGTGCGCCACCGGGCCGGCCCCCCCAGGAACTTTTTTTTTTTTTTTGTCTTTTTCCGTGTCCGGCAACGGATCGCAACCCTCAGTGTTGCCCCCGTACCGGACCGGGACCGGCAACGGGATTGCACCCCTTGGCGTTGCTCCCGCGCCTCGCTCAGCCAGTGAGCGGGAACCGGTCTGTATGTGGGATCCGAACCCTCGGGCGGGAGCGCCGCTGCGCTTCCCAAGCGGCGCACTTATCCAGTGCGCCACCGGGCCGGCCCCCCCAGGAACTTTTTTTTAGCAGCAATTTTGCCTTGAACTAAGATTGTGCTGCATACAAGGAAGGTGGTAAGGATATCAAAAGAGGAATGTATGACCAAATCCATGCAACAACAGGTTAGGCAAAAGTTTTCAGAAGATAAGGTATGAAACTGAAATCTATTTTGTCTTCAATTCTGTTTTTGTAGCATCCAACTCCTAAAAATCATTGGAATCTGCAAAGGAATAAATGTCTTTTTGAATGCCAGTGAGTTGACTGATGCCTGGCAGCCCCTAGGTAGCATCCAGGTGGGGGCTAGTTACAGGGAAGAAGACCAGGCCTGATGAGAGTGTTGGGACTTTCAGCCCCACCCCCTAAACTCCAAGGAAGAGAAAGCAACTAAAGGTTGATCACCGGTTTGATCACCACCGGCCAGGGATTTAATCAGTCATGCCTTCCTAATGAAGCGTCCATAAAAACCCAAAAGGACTGGGTGAGAAGAGCTTCCAGATGGCTGAACACATGGCAGTTCAGTAAAAATAAGTCCAAGGCGGGGGTTGTGGGAATCCCCTTATATAGCTGTTGGTCAGAAGCACGAGTAAAAAGACACTGGCCTTGCAACTGGCATCAGAAGTGGGGCAGTCTTGTGCGACTGAGCCCTTCACCTGTAGGGTCCGATGCTATCTCCAGGTAGTGTCGGATTGAACCGAATTAGGACACCCCGCTGGTGTCTCCTGAACTGATCGCTTGCTTGGTATGTGGGGAAATAACACCCTGCCACCCACATCTGCTTACAGAAGGGTTCTATGTTGGTTGCTGAGTGAGAATAACAAGAACACTTTGGTTTTCCTCTATTGTCAGATAGCAAGATGCGGGTAAACTGGTGCTGCTTCGTCTTGCAAAGGGTTGTCTGCCGCCCAGTACTTTTAAGAGTTCCTTACCTGACCTCAGGTTCATTTCCCTCAAATGGGTCTGTGATCCAAAAAATAAGTCACTGCTTTGAGATTGGGCACAGCCCAACCCGAAATGCTCCTAAAAAAGTAAAACTACAAATATTATTTGGAGGAGTTATAAAACATCTAAACACTATGAAAAACCAATTTATGCTGAGTTACATCTCACATCTGAAATGGGGAAATAAAAACAGCTACTATATTTTTCTATTTTGTTAAAAAGCAGAGGATTTGATGACTCAAATGCCTTTCCCTTGGTCATAGATCTTTATTTCCTTGTTGAAATAAAATGTTGGTCTTGAAAGAATGCAGGGTTGTGTTGTCATAAACCCATGAATGAGATTATATTAGATGAAGATTTATATTAAATGAAGATTATAGCCTGGATTGATGAAAAGTAGTAAAAAATAGCACTACAGCCTTTTTCTTATCATGACACACAGTACTTGTGTGGACAGCATTAAAAGCATAAAGCCCCAAAGGGAAAGAAGGCAGAGATTACTCACAACAATTTAACGTAGGCAACTGTAAAGCTGGTGCTTAATACCAAGTATGGCCTGTGTTGCTTGAGGGCAGGCAGCTACTGGTGGTTCCTAAAATGTCATATTAACATAATAGCTTAAGAATAAATAGTGAAAATCCTCCAAAGTCAAAGGAAAGATATTTCATCTGTCCAGAGCCTCCCCACTGCAGTGTGACAGCTTTTTAAAGTCCTCAGATTTATCTGCCACAGGCTCTAATAGTCAAATTCTCTGATAAGGTTCAGGACGAAGGTAAATCCTTGGAAATAAAGTTCATTCCCCAGGGATGATGGACAATTTCATGATCAAAAATTAGTTTCTGAAGACCCTTTGTGACATAATCTAATGATGTGGCCTCAGCCTCAGTTAAGATGGATCCAATTTCCTTTTCTTCATGTCCTGGCTCTTCCTATGAGAGTCACAGTTTCCTGTGGAAGATAAAATGGCTTAAGTACAGCTGTCATTTTAAAATAAGGAATTTAGCTGATAGCTAATAATTTCTGGGTTGTATTAATGACCCTAATTTAGACTAAGGGCCCAAGAATGAAAACTTTTAGGAGAGTAGAGCCTCAGTTAACCCTAGACCAAGAGTCAGTCACACTCACGGTACCCCTGCCTTTAGCAGGAAAAGCTCTGCGCGCCGTCACGCTTCAGCTTCCTGCTGCTATCAAGGACTACAAAGGGTAGCACTTGAGGTCAGGAACCCAGAGGAAAAATTCTGATTCTTAATCCAATTATCTTCTTAACGGCACTGCTCATTCCTTTGAAATAAGTCTGTCCAATTTCTTTTTTCTTTTTTTTAAAGATGACCGGTAAGGGGATCTTAACCCTTGACTTGGTGTTGTCAGCACCACGCTCTCCCAAGTGAGCCACGGGCCGGCCCTTATCCAACTTCTTTTAACTTTTTTTTTTTTTTTTTCCTTTAAATTTTTATTTTGTCAGTATACAATGTGGTTGATTATTATGTCCCATCAGCGAAACCTCCCTCCCTCTTCCCTCTCCCCCCTCCCACCCAGGAATGTCCTTTCCGTTTGCTTATCCAACTTCTTAAAATGAAATGTCATCCTTTAAAATTCACAGATTAGGGCTGGCCCATGGCTCCCTCTGCTGATAACACCAAGGCCACGGGTTCGGATCCTATATAAGGATGGCTGGGTAGCTCAATGGCTGAGCGTGGTGCTGACAACACCAAGCCAAGGGTTAAGATCCCCTTACTGGTCATCTTTATATAGGATTTAAAAAATAATAATAATAAAAATTAAAATTCAGATTAAAAGAAAAAAAAACGCACAGATTAAACCCAGGACCTCCCTTTAGTTTTTCTTCCTGAACACTTCTCTCTGCTACCTGTTATATGCAGGTTAGTGTTAAAAGTTTGAGGGTCCCAGGGTCTAGATTTTGCTTCTGGCTTCTGTTGGCACAGGCTGTGTGAGGTCCTGTTCCAGGATGCCATCTGGTCATTCAGGATTGGTATGGCAGAGGTCTGGGGTGGTTCTGGTCTGGACAAGGGCTTGGCAACATTGTCCCCTGCATCTTGAGTCATATCCCACATTTCAAGGTTGTCTTCAAGGTTCTCTATGGAGGTCACAGAAAAGTATAGCATCAGCAAATGTTCTCACATAAGCACTGGAAAAACTGGTCGTAAGAAATGCCATGTTTTGAGTGCCCCATGATAGTTTTTGGAATTTCTCTCTCCCCTACCCCTAAAAGCGCACTTCAGCTAGGACAATAGAGGAGCCGATTATATGCTATCATTCAGAAGTCCATCAGTAAAAACAGACAAAAATGAGGATTTTTGTGCCTCTTAAAATGTGACCTGTGTCTACCCAAAGTATTCAGCACACACAGTGCCTTACAAGCATTTCACAAGTATTTACTGATTAATTCTAAAGTCACACCTGCACGGAGGTCCTTTTCAGCAAGTCGTTCTGAGACAGCAGCTACAGGAGTGCTGTGGGTCAGAGCGGGGCCAGAAGCACTGCACAGTTCAAATGAGAGGAAGGAGAGGTTGTGCATCACAGAACTAACTGGAATCTGAGAGTAAGTCTGTTCCCCTCCTGCTGGGGCAGTAGACTCAGAAGTGCAAAAGCTGTCCAGGGTGACACTGGTTCAGCCTGTAAATGAACTCAAGATCCTGAGTCCCAGTCCTTCAGACAGATTTATGTTTATTTCTCCTTTAACAGCTAAAATAGTAGGGTTATTAAAAGCCATCTAGTCCAGTGGCTCATTTTTTAAAGCTATAACCCTGCTCAAACAAAGCCTTAAGCAGATATTCAATATGTAAAATAGACAAAAAACAATGGCTCTTGTCTGATAAGGGCTGGGGTAAAGTCCTGGAGGACGACCTCCTCCACCCTTCACTCCCAGGAGCTTCTGCAATGGTTTAGAAACTAAACTAAACATCTAGAATAACTCATTATTAAGGACAGTAAGGGTTTTTTGTTGTGGTTTTTTCTTTCACATTCAATTCAGCCTGTCAGTGCTGAGGGGGACATTAATAAACCAAACACAAATCAAGTCCTCTTGTGAACACTAGGGAAAAGGTCAATTGGTCTGGGACAAGCCCTTTCTCTGTTTCTCCTCTCCGGACAAGGGCCCTCCTACCCCACCCCGCACCTGCACCCCCCTGCACAAAATGAAAATCTGTATCTACTACTCCCACTGGATCTGGACTCTTGAAATAAACTAAACTTCGTGGATAAATAATCTGCCAAAAGCTTCTGTTTATCTTCAAACCCAATTTTGCTTTACATTCAAAGACATCTCAGAAACAAAAGACTCAAATGCAGAGATACAGCCAAAGTATCTGAACCAAAAAAAGTTTTTTACCCTGAAATTCCTAATTCAGGGTAAAGAAGATTATGTCAAGGTCCATTTACTTCCCTAAAAAACAATCCCTGTCTTTAGAAATGGGGAAATGCATGGCAAATCTCACTGTCTTAATTTCTTGGACTCATCTATCCTGTGTGTAACTTGGGAGAAGTCCTGGTGAGGTCTGGTTTGGAGCTAGACCAGCAGGTTACCCTGTCCACTGGACTTCCTCCTTCAGAGTCCACCTCCCAGGGAGGGCCTCTGCTCCCCTCCTTTCCACACACCCTCACTCTGCTTTTCGACTGACGGAGCAGGTATCTGAACTTGCTGCTGCTTCTCCATTTGCTCCCGGAACTGCTGCTGCAGCTGCTTCTGCCGGAGCTTCCGCTGGTATGTGGCGTCACTCTCCACGGTGGACGATGTCAGGCTTCTACATCAGAAGAGCAACAAAGTGGGAGTGAGGTCCTGAGTTACCTAAGTTCCCAATATACGTGGTTCCAGAGGGAATGTGCAAACCACCTGGCTGGTTCTGAAGGTAGAAACAGAGTCAACCCAAACCATGTGAGAAGAAGGTGGAGAAGAGGAAAGGGAGGGAACCAGGGCCCCTTACCGGGAGCTGTAGTCCTTATCCCTCTCAGTCACAGTGTGGGGATCATCTGGGTGGCTTGTTTTGCAAGGGGAGGTCACCTCCTGTGGTTTTGGGGGTCCCAGAGCCATGTTTGGTTGGCAGCTGTTGTATCTCGCCTGTTCCACAGATGGTTCAAAATCTTGTCTCTTTGCTTTGGTTAGATCCACTTCAAGAGGCAACTAATAAGGGAAGGAAGAGGAGAGAAGAAACAACTTCCTCCAGCTGCTCTTCCCTCTCTCTCTTCCTGCCTTCAAGTTCAGATTCCGGAAGGTGGCATTTGACGAGCCTCCATCCAGCATTCCTTCTAGGTACTAAGAAGCCGAGACAAAGGAGCCACAACTTCCAAGAGATATTTTTAACTACATGGGAAGGAGGAGTAAAACATTACTTTATACTTTTCTCTATTAATAAAATTTTGATAAAAAGAAGTCTTTCTTTGGTTTTGACTTAGGGCAAATGGTCTGTAAAGTCTAATTTGAATCTTTTCTTGGCAGCTGGATCTGTTTTATGCTGTCTCCTTACCTCTTTTTTCATGGAAATAATCATACACAGTCTTTGTGGATACCTATACCCGCTCCACCCTTTTTGCCAGGACTGCCCTCTACAAATACAACACTCATCACTGAAGAAACCTCAGGTATGCTGTGGCACAATTAGAGTGTCTCTCAAATGACAGGAGGAAGAAAACTTGGAAAGCACTGACTTGGGCTGCCAGCCAAGGCTGCACAGAATCTTCCAGGTTGGGGTTGTTCCTGCATCTGTCTCATCAACGTGAGAAGCAATGACCATGTACTTCAAGGTGTATAGCAAATTGCTTTATTTCCAGGTTGTGAGCACTACATTTATGATACGTACACCTATCTGTATGTCTATATGCACTTTATAATACTTCAGTTTTTTAAAGTACAAACTGTAGAATTCCATTTATATTAAGTTCAAAAATAGGAAAAAATAATCTAGGAGGCTGGAAGTCAGACTAGAGAACAGAACAGTAGTTACTTTTGAAATGAGGCAAGGTAGTGACTGGGAGCAGGGGAAGGGCTTCTAGGGTGCCAGTAAAGTTCTATTTTCCTATCTGCAGGTAAACAGCTGTATTCACTCAGGAAAATCCATCAAGCTGTGCTGTTATGATTTGTGCCGTTTTCTGTGTGTATGTTGTACCTTGTTTTAAAAATTCATTTAAAAAAAAACAGAAAAAAGAAATGAAGAGTAACTCATCGAGATGGCAGACTATGAAGCTCTAGGCCCTCCCTTCCCCAAAGAGACACCAAGTTAACAACAATATATGGACCAGAATATTTTTGTGAGAACTCTAGAGCCAAGTTGAAAAGCTATAGCACCCAGGCCAATGTAAAAGCAAGAAAGAATTCCAGCAAAGGGGGTTGTAAAACTTGCAGCATTATGCATGCCGGTCCATGCCACTGTCCCTACTCAGTGTAGAGCAGTGCAACTGGGAGGAAACCTCTTCTACAAGGACTCCCCCCTCAGTATGGAAACAAAAGAGTGGGCCATGCATCTAACATCCTGGCTTGTCTGGGGGCTGCCTGAGGTACTAGTTGCTGTGTTGCATCACTCAGAGTACTTACATCACTGGTGGCAGCAGGGTTTGGAAGGGACTAAAAACTGGTGAGAACCACAGCACATCAGAGCTGCAGTTCAGCAGGCAGACACTAGGAGATCAGAAAAGGTTTGAGAGGTCCTAAAACTCTAGCCAGGCTTATTGGTAAAGATCTTCCCTTTTTTGAAGCCAGTAAATAAAAAGTGGGAAAGGTGGTTGTTTTTGCAAATCTCAACAAATGGCATATATGAAATAGGAAACATGGCTGAATCAAAAGAACAAAATAAAACTGAAACTCCAGAAAATGCTAGAGACTTCAGAAAACTAAATCACAGATCTCAGATCTATGAGCTACCTGACGAAGAATTTTAAATAACTGTCTTAAAGATGATCAGTGAGCCAAAGAGTATACAGATAGATAACTAAACAAAATCAGGAAAACCATGCATAAACAAAATGAGAATATTAAAAAAGAAACAATAGAAAAGAAGCAAACAAATTCTGGAGCTAAAAAATGTATTACCTGAGCTGAAAAACTCAAAAGGGGGGTTCAACAGCAGAACTGATCAGGCAAAAAAAAAAAAATCATTAATCATCAGAGAAGAAAAAAGAATGAAGTAAAGAAACCCTAAGGGACTTATGGGACACTATTAAATCAACCAGTACAGGTATTATGAGAGTTTCATAAGGAGAAGAAAAAGAGAAAGGGGCAGAGAGCTTATTTGAAGAAATAATGTCCAAAAAGTTCCCAAATATTAAGAAAGAAATGGATATATAAATTCAAGAATCACAAAGTACTCCAACTAGGATAAACCCAAAGAGACCCAGACCAAGACACATTACAATCAAGATGTCAAAAGTGAGAGAAAGAATCTGTAAAGCAGCAAGAGAAAGCAAATCATCACATACAAGGTAGCCTCCAGAAGATTATCAACAGTTTTCTCAGCAGAAACCTTGCAGATCAGAAGGAAATGAGATATACTCCAAGTACTGAAATAATAAAAAAAAGTCAACCAAGAATACTGTATCCAGCAGAACTGTCCTTCAAAAATGGAGAAATTAAGACTGCCAGATAAACAAGAGCTGAGGGAGTTCATTACCAGTAGAATTTCTCTACAAGAAATGCTAAAGGGAGTCCTTCAAATTGAAATGAAAGGATACTGGACAGCAACATGAAGCCATAAGAAAATAAAAAGTTCTTCAGTAAAGGTAAGCAAATGGACAAATATAGTAACCTGTGTTATTATAATGCTAGTGCACAGAATTTAAATAGCAAAACCATTAAAAAAACAAACAAACTATAAGTTTATGTTAAAGGGTATATATGATGTATAAAGATGTAATCTGTGACATCAATAACACAAAGTGGGACAGAAATGGAGTTGTAAAGCAGAATAGTTTTTACATGCAATATAAAAGTTAAGAAGTTATCAGTTTATAATAGATGCTATAACTTTACAATGTTTTATGCATTTGCAATGGTAACCACAAAGAAAATATCTATAGAATATAATATGCAAAAGGAAATGAGAAGGGAATCAAATCATGTCACTACAAAAAAATCAACAAAACACAAAAGGTGGCAGTAAGAAAGAAAAGGAGGGACAGAAAAGCTACAAGCCATACAGAAGACAATTAATAAAATATCAATAAGTTCTTCTCTCATTAATTACTTTAAATGTAAATGGAGGCTGGCCTGTTAGCTGAGTTGTTTAGAGAGTGGTGTCGATAACACCAAGACATAGGATTTGTTCCCTGTGCCAGCCATCTACCAAAAACTAAAATAAAAATGTAAATGGATAGATTAGATGAATGGATTATCTTAGTTAGCAGATGACATGATATTATATGTAGAAAAACCTAAAGACTCCACAAAAAAACTCTTAGAATGAATAAATGAATTCAGCAAAGTTCAGGATACAAAATCAGAACACAAAAATCAGATGTGTCTCCATATTAATAATGAACAATCAAAAAGGAAACCAAGAAAACAATCCCATCTACGATAACATCAAAAAGAATAAAATACTTGGGAGTAAATCTAACCAAGGAGGTGAAAGACTTTTACAGTGAAAACTATAAAACACTGCTGAAAGAAATTAAAGAACACAAATAAATGAAAAGACATCTCATGTTCATGAACTGGAAGACTTAATATTGATATAATTTCCATATCACCCAAAGTGATCTACAAATTCAATGCAATCCCCATCAAAATCTCTTTGGCACTTCTTGCAGAAATGAAAATTTCATCCTAAAATTCATATGGAAGCCCAAGGGATCCCAAATAGCAAAAACAATTTAGAAATAGAAGAGCAAATTTGGAGGACTCACATCTCCCGAGTTCAAAACATATTACAAAGTTACAGTAATCAAACAATGTGGTATTAGCATAATGAGATACATATAAACCAATGGCACAGAATAGGAAGCCCAGAAATAAACCCTTGTGTATGTGGTCAAATGATCTTCAACAAGCATGGCAAAACCACTCAATGGAGAAAGAACAGTCTCTTCAATAAATGATGCTAAAAGAAACTGGATATCCTCATGCAAAAGAATGAATATAGTTCCATGTCTCTATTTTTGCTTTTGATGCCTATGCTTTTGGTGTCATATCCAAAAAATCATTGCCAAATCCAATGTCATGTTTGACTCATTTTATACCACACACAAAAATCAACTCAAAACAGATGAAAAAATAATAAAAATAAAATTAAATTAATATTTTTTTTTTAAAAAAGCATGGCCGATGGGGCTGGCCCGGTGGCGCACTGGATAAGTGTGCCGCTTGGGAAGCGCGGCGGCGCTCCCGCCTGAGGGTTCGGATCCCACATACAGACCAGTTCCGCTCACTGGCTGAGCGAGGCGTGGGAGCAACACCGAGGGTTGCGGTCCCATTGCCGGTCCCCGGTCCGGTCCGGGGGACAACACTGAGGGTTGCGATCCATTGCCGGACACAGAAAAAAAAAGACAAAAGACAAAAAAAAAAAAAAAAAAAAA